TGTATTTTTAATTTTAATTTTACAAATTTAACATTTTTTATTTTTTTATATTTTAAAATGTAGTTTTTTTTTTTTTTTTTTATATTTTAAAATGTAGTTTTTTTTTTTTTTTTTACAAAGTTATCATTTTTAATTCATTTTTAAAGTTTTTTTCAGATCGAGTTCTCTTATTCCTATTTTTCTCCTGTTTTTACAATCATGGAAATGTTGACGGTGGAGGAATGACTGGAAGCTGATTTTATTTCACCTTTAGAAAAAATAAAGCATTGGAAGCAAAACCTGAGGAAAAGCTGCTAGTTGTTGATTTTCAGCCTCCACCAAAGTTCATTGTGTTCTTTGTTTGAGGAGGCGAGGCGGATCTGATGGAGATTTTCTGCTTTATTTGCAGTGAAATACTTGAATACTCGTTACCAAAGCTGTTGGAGAAACTGCAACTCAACCATGAGGAGGTAGGACGGAAAAGAAGTAGAGTATTTCTCAAAAAACAATTTTCAGAGTAAATCTACTTCTGACTTATTGTGCGACTGTCCGTCAGCTGGTTGACCTCTGCATTTTGCTGGGCTGTGATTACTGTGGAAAGATCCCTGGTTTGGGTCCAAAGAAAGCTCTGAAGCTGATCCAGGAGCATCGTACCATCGAGAATGTCGTCCTGCACATCAACAGGAAGGTGATACATCAGCATTACTGTGATCCACATCTAGTTAGAAAAAAAACGAAGTTCTAAAATAATCCAATCACTTCTAGACGCATCCCGTACCGGAAGCCTGGAAATACAGAGAGGCCAGGAAGATCTTCCTGGACGCCACGGAAACCAGCGTTCCTGAGCTGTTGTGGAGCGAGCCTGATGAAGAGGCCCTGGTGGCCTTCCTCTCTCACAGCGGACGTATCCGGTGAAGATCTTTTTTTGTGTTTGGATCTGAACGGATGTGGAGCCATTGGAACTCCAGCTCAAACCAGTTTCTTTTATCCAGGGAGGAGAGGATCCGCCATCGCATGAAGACGTTCCATGGGAATCGAGAAAACAGACGAGAGGAGAGGAAGAAGGAGCAGGCAGCGGGTTCTCTGCAGCAGACCCGCTTGGAGAAGTTCTTCAGAGTTTCTAGAAAGAGAACACAGGTGGGTGAAGCTGGACGGCCGCAGCTACCATCATCATCATCATCATCATCATAACATTTCATGCTACGTTCAGACTGAAGCAGCAGGAGCAGCATTTTTCATGCTTGTACCAGTTTAGTTCTGATCTTTGCTGCTCTAGCTGCTCGGTGATAAAGTGTGTCTGAAGCTCGGTGGGCGGAGCTACCCTATCCTTTCTCTGCCTGGATTAATGGCAGCTATATTAGCTGTGAT